CCGCCAGAAGCAGCAGCACCGGCGGCGGAGGCAGCGGGAAGGCGCATCGGGACCCGCAAGAAGGTAATCCGAAAGCTGGAGGTGCAACGCCCGGCCGCAGCGCCACGTCTGGGCCTGCAGACTAGCCCCGCCCCTGCTCGAGGCCCCGCCCCTGCTCGAGGCCCCGCCCCTCCCCGCCAGGGACCACGCCCCCAGCTCCGGGTCCCGCCCCAGGGCCCGCCAGGGGACCCTCTGCTTGGCTCCCAGTGGGGTTCCGGGTCCTCACCCGGCCCTCGGGCCTTTACTTTCCTTGTCCTGAGAGCGTCCACCCTCCCTCTGCCTCCCGAGGGCTTGGACGCTCGGGCAGGATGCGGCCAGACAGCACCGCCTCTCGCCTGCAGGGGGCGCGGGCGGGATGCGGACCGACAGGGGAGTTTCTAGGCAGACACGGATTTCAAGAGGAAACTGGAGCCTGGGGAGTCCTGGCTTATGGTGTTTTTTTAATTTCAATTAGGGTTTCAATTCCTAAAGCACACATTGTGGCGATAGGAACATGACGTGCTCTGCAGGAGCTGCGAGGGTAGAAGGGTTTTGGAACAGTCCCTGGCACCGTGCTAGTTTTCATTATTCCATTCCTTACCTCACAAAAGGCCCATGAACTACTTCCTTTTGCAGGTTAGGAAAGAGTCTCAGAAAAGGTCAAGCATGATTAAGTTGTGGGTCTGGGATTTGAACCTGAAATGCCTCTGGGCTCATCTCACCAAGCCAAAGAGGACTGGACCCAAATACCACCTCCCCTCTTCTCGCCTAAGGCAGACACAGCAAATTGATCACGGTGCTTTCCCACTGGATCGAGACTGGGACTCAGGATTCTTCTCAGCATCAAACCAAGGCTGCCTTAGGATTTTCATGGACCCCCTGGGCATTTTTTTTGCCTTTCTGGGGCCCTTTCTCCACTAAGAAATCATATTAAAAATTGGATTTTACAACTGCTTTGATAAAAAAGAATATAATCCAGGCTGGATTCATTATTACATATTCATTTTTTTCTTCTGATTTTAAAATAAATTAAAACTATAACATTTTTGCTCTGGCCAGGCGGTTCAGAGCATCCTCTCATACACCAAAAGGTTGTGGGTTGGATTCCTGGTCAGGGCACATACCTAAGTTGCTGGTTCGATCCCCAGTTGGGGCACATACAGGAAGCAACTGATCCATGTTTTTTTCTCGAATTGATGTCTCTCTCTCTCTCTCTCTCTCTCTCTCTCCCCCCTTTCTCTCTGAAATCAATAAAAAATATATATTAAAAACAACAACAATGTGCCCAACTGGCGTGGCTTAGTGGTTGAGCTTTGACTTACGAACCAGGAGGTAACAGTTGGATTCTCTGTCCACGCATATGTACAGGTTGCCATCTTGATCCCAGGAGGGGGCATGCAGGAGGCAGCCAATCAATGATTCTCTCAACATCATTGATGTTCTCTCTCTCTCTCTCTCTCTCTCTCTCT